ATAATTATACTAATCACCTGAAAATAGAAATATTTGAATATTTGAGCACTTATTCCTGTGATTTACAGTTGAATATTTTTCAATCTATTTCTAAGAGAACATTCAGGAATATAAAATAAGTCAAGATCAACCTTATTGCCATTAGAAACTATTCTAGAAAGTGNAAAAAAAATTAGCTACGCTCGAAAATGTCGAGATGAGGTTTTTTTTTACAACTTTGCTGCCCTCCCCTTTCTTTACGTCACTCTCAAATTGTCAGATTACTGGAATATACACTTTTAAGCATATAATTAACTCACCCTACCTTAATCTGACGCGCTCGAGAATTTCTGATGATCAATTTTTGTTACTAATCTGACCCTTTATTCTTCACGGGCGGCCTTATATATGGGGCTCATATTTGGTGGAGGTACTTAACCGGGAACAAGGTATCCCCTGTATATTAATCTGTATAATAATTAAAGTTCGTTAACTTCAAGTCTGACAAATGGTTAGATTAACGGAAATGCATAAAATAACAGTTTTACAAATGATTGGTTACGGAGATAAAACCCGAACACAACAGGATGTAGCTCGCCTATTTCATGAAAAATTTCCCAAGTTACCGCCCATATCTCAAAAAACAATACGCAAAATAGAGATACATCACAAACCTATACTTCCCATTTAAAAAATTAGGGGTTGTACCTGTCATTTGAAGGGTGTTGAAGATAGGGGTGACATTTTTACGTTGAAGAATGTCAAATTATAATTTACATTTGGAGAGTTTCGGGATTTTTTTAATATGTACAGTAACCGAATTCATTCTATTTGGCTTTTACACACTGTATGTAGATACTGCAACAATCGGGTGAAGTCATAAGCGCTAGATTTTTTTGATCCAGGCTTCAAACATTTCAGAAGATAATTTGGTATCGGCCCCGATGGAGGCAAATTAGCCTACTACACCATCAGTTTTAATACGTGGATGACACAATTCTGGAACTCCTACAAATCGTTATAAAATAACCTAAATGTGTGCAAAATCCATTCGTGAAGGTGACATCTCCCACAACGTACTGTTTAAATATCAAACATGAAATACACATCAGCAACAGCGAAAGGTACCGTACCCAGGTATATACCCACGAACTATTCAATGAGTGCTGTAGAATGTTGAATATTCATCGTCAGAACCTGAAAAATGTCGAAAATTGCCCAATACTACGCAACACATCTCGATATACACCTGGCTTTTCGTCCGATCGTGGAAGAAATATGATGTAATGGCCGCACACCCACGTTTTTCACGCCGCGAAGTCTAGTTATCCGTGTCGCATTCTATAGTCGTCTCACCTGGCCAACTTTTCATTTTCTTGCCCGATCTCACGGTTCACGCCGATACGCAAGGTTATCGATATAAATATTGTGAAAGGTTGATTGTGTTTATGTATTATTATTTTTTGAGGTTGGAATAACTACGTATGAGGAAACAAGATGATTTAGTGCCCGATCGGTATTAAATGTAATTATTCCGTAATAGAGGGACACAACAGAGAATACACAAAGCAAGAGTAGAAGAAATCATACAATAATAATGTATCAATTGCATTATTGATTGGTCATTTATTTATTTTCTTTTGTTGAAATTTCGAGACTGATAAAATGACAAAAATGACAATTAGGAGAGATGTAAATGCTCTGGCAAAAATTCCATGGAGACAAAATAAATCTCATTTCTTACCCTCTTTAAAATTTTAGGGTAGTCTACCCTGGCCACAGAGGGCTGCCAGAAGTGGCTTGTAATTTTCAGTAGGTATAGAGGATTGACTGTAGAAATTTTCATGACCACCTGAAATTGGTCACTGGCTCTTCTTCTAATGTCTGTTTCCGTAGAGATCTTGTAGTTTAAGTATATTCACGCTTTCGTTACTTACTTTGTAAGCTCTTCTTTCTTCCTTGAATACTGTTCGAAATTTAGAAGAACTTGTTCTTCCATCTATCCTGCTCATCGTGTCGCATACATTTCAAAGAGAAGGTTTGGCTCTTGGTCTCTTCATGGACAGAGATAACTTCACCAAGTAAGTAGCTTTTCAAAAAGCTTAGGATCGTCCACTTTTGGATATACTGTTTGATTCTGTGCTAGATCTAACACTCAAAAGACTCGACTTCAATGTGGTGGCGATAAAGGAATGCAGAGCTTGAATTGATTCCTCACCAGCTGTACTCTTGCTGATGACGAGAGTGGTAGGATTCTTGTTAACTTTAGATGGATTCAGTTGAACGGCACTATGAATACAGTCAGAAATTCTTTTCATTTTGTTGTCAAATATGCTTTGATATCTGCGAGAATTCTTGTTATTCTTAAACCTCAAGGTATACGGAGATATTCCTTGAAAGTGCGGTAAAGTTGCTTCCACCTCTATTTGAACTCACATATCATCTCATGTGCGTAAACCAGTAAAACGCTCTGCTACAGCTGTCATTGTCTGGGTAAACAATTAGAAATATTCAAAACTTGATGACAATTATCTATTTTACATTGTTGCTCTCGGAGAGGACCACCCAAATCGGATGGAGTTACAAGAGATGAAAAAATACCACAGCAGACAGCAAATTCATAGCTGGGGATGAACATGTGCGAAATTGAATGAGTGACTGAAGCAGTTTCTTCACCCGTACCAGTACTTGACATTTTGAAAATTTAAAACTTAAAAATAACCTATATGTACACACCATAGGCATTAAAACGTAACGACCACTCCGATACTGTAACAACAGACAACGTGTTACCTCAGGGCTAGTATGCCACCAAGATTTAGCCAAAGCTTCGGTAGATAATACCATTATCTTGAGGTGGATTAAAGGGCACGACAAGAGTAGAGGTAATCGCATTGCCGACTCTTTAGCCAAGGAAGCGGCTGGACTAAGAATTTTAGGACCCAGTGGCACCTACGGCCTGATGACTTCGATAATTGAGGAACTAGCCAAATGTTACACACATGCTCAATCCCTAAAGAGATAGGATGGAATCAAAGGATGCAATCTTGTCAGGATCACACTAGGTGACCCTGGGAAGCTGGCGCTGTCAACTAAGGAAACACCTCCATAATATGGGGCTAGTGGACACACCTCTATGCAGGATGTGTGAACAGGAAGATGAGACAGTCAGGCATGTCCTATGCGAGTGCCCGGAGTTATCGTCAATAAGAGAGTGTGTGATTGGCGAGACTTGGCCTACACCTGCCGATATAAAGGAGATGTCTCCCAG